CATTACCCTAATTCCAAAGACCAGACAAAGATTAAACCACAAAAGAGGACTACAGGCCGACCTCTTTGATGAACACAGACACAAAAATCCTCAATAAGATACTGATAGCAGAATGCAACAAAACACCAAAAAGCTCATACATCATGGCTAAGGAAACTTCCTCTCAGGGATTCATTGATGGTTCAAAATGTGCAAATCAATAAATGTAATACATCACATAAATAGAAGCAAGGGCAAAAATCACATGATCATTTCAATAGATGCAGAGAAAGCCTAGGCAAAAATCCAACATCCATTCAGACCTTATTTCAACCTGACAAAAGCCACAAACCAATGGCTAACATCCTATTAAATGGGGAGAAGCTGAATGCATTCCTGTATAGTAACAGTATTGATATTTGTGTGTTTATTTTGTACCCTATACACCAATAATAATTAACTTATTAAGAAAGAAATTAGGAAAAAGATACATTTACAATAACATCAAGAAAAATTAAATACTTAGAAATTAATCTAAGCAAGGTAATGAAAGACTTCTACATTAAAAACTGCAATAGTCTGAAAATGGAAAGATATCCCCTGTTCTGCAGGCAGAGCCAATATTGTCAAAAGGGCCATAATTGCAAAACTGACAAAGTTTAACACAATCCCAATTAAAATATCAATAGCATTCCTCACAGACCTAGAGAAAATCTTCCTAAAACTCATATGCAACTAGAAGAGACCCAGAGGAGCAAAAGCAATCCTGGGCAACAATACCAACTAGGAGGCATCGTAATCTTGGACTTTCAAAGCTACAGTGATAAATATAGCATGACACTGTCACAAAAATGGACACGTACTTCAGAGGAATGAAATAAAACATGCACAAAAAACCCTATAACATTCAGCTATCTAATCTTGAAAAAAGGGGCCAAAAAACGTACACAGAAGAAAAAAATAGATGGCTGAATCTAGACTATTATCTCCCACCATGTGCCAAACTAAAATAAAAGCCCAAAGATCCAAATGTTAAAACAGAAACATGTGATCTGCTGGAAAATAAAATACATAAAACTCTTGAAGACAGAGGCATAGACAATGACTCTGAACAGAACACCAATTGTACAAGAAATAACTTCAAAAGCCAACAAATGGGATCAGATCAAGTTAAAAAGTTTCTACACAGCAAAAGAAATAAACAAGAGTGAAGAGATAAACTACAGCATAGGAAAAGAATTTTGCCAGTTATTCCTCAGAAAGAGGACTAATATCTAGAATATATAAAGAACTAAAAAAAGTTAGACCCCCTCAAAAATAAAAGACCCAATTTTAAAAACTAGCAACTGAAATGAATAGACATTTGTCAGAAGTACAAATGACCAATGTTCAATATGTCTGGTCATTACAGAAATGCAAATTATAACACTGAGGTTCCCTCTTACTCCAGAAAGAATTGCTACCATCAATAAATTAAACAATAGCAAATGCTGGAGAGGTTGCAGGGAAAATGGAATCCTTCTTCC